TGTTTTCCATATGTGAATCCATTTGTCTGGTTTTTTTTTTCCCATCTCTAGCCCTTTAGCTTGGCAGAGCTTGTTCTAGCAATGGTCTTGCCCTTCCACTGTCATATTATTAACTGGTAGAAAACAGCTCTTTAATTTTTTAGTACTGCATTATGATTGTTTGGATGCTCATCAATGGATATGAAATTTTAAGATCTATGTTTTCTCTCTTTTTAGAGGTTTTGATTTAGAATATGCATTTGTAAGCCTTTCAGTCTAAGTTCCAGATCAGATATAAAATCCAAGACAATATTCATAGGCAGTGCAGAAACAACTCTTATGGTTGGGCACCTTTTAAGAGTCAGTACAACAGTGCAGTTCAAGAAGATGACAAGCAAGAGTATGTTTTTCCTTCCTCCAATGACCCAGTGCAGTATGTTCAAATTCCTCCTCTAGTTCATAATTTTTAACTACTTCAGCTTGAGAGCATTTCTTACTTTATTTTCTGACTGACCTGAAAGAAAGGACAAAAAGCATGATATACCTGCACTCATGCATATGTAGCAGTCAGGTGCTTCCCTATGAGCTCGGAAAGTCTTTTATATCATTGCCATTTTTCCTTAAAAATTTAAATGACTGAAAAAGGGTGGAGACTATGTAGAATCATCTATCTTTCATCTTAACTTTAATCCATGTCTGCTAAGGAGGAGGGGAAGGGAAGAAAGGCACAAGAAGGTGCTAACTTGCTTTTTTTCCCCCAACAAAATTAAAATCACTGAACATCTGAAAGGGACCTCTGGAATTCATCTTGTTCAACCTCCCTGCTCAAGCAGACTAGTTATTATAAAGCTTGCAACTATTATTTTATTGTACCAGGAACTGAATATATAGAATGTGATTCTGTCAGAGTACAGCGAAATTCTGTCACCTCCAAGAACATACATTGATGTAACATCATTCTGAATATCCCAGTGTTGCCTGTTTAGTTCCTGTCACTTTGTGAGGAAGCTTTAGTTTTCCATGTATGAAGTTTTCCATGTACACTGGAGCAGCCCAGAGAAGCTGTGGCTGCCCCATCCCTGGAAGTGTTCAAGACCAGGTTGGATGGGGCCCTGAGCAGTCTGGTCTAGTGGAAAGTGTCCCTGCCTGTGGCAGTGGGTTGGAAAAGGATGATCCTTCAGGTTCCTTCCAACACCATTCTGTGATTCTGTACACATGTACAGATGGTGACTCTCTAGACCTGCTTCCCTTTAGGGTATCCAGTGGAGACTCCTTAAAGGAATTCAGTCTGAATTTGCATTTGAGGGGCCAGAAAATTTATCTTTCCACTTAGTTCTCTTCACTGGAAAATTACTTGCCAAAGCCCTCCATTGCTCTTTCCCGTCAAATAATGATTTCTGCAAAAATGTTCAATTATTTTATTAGACATCGTTAGAAATATTCAACAAGTGAGAACTTCAACATTTCCTGTACTTTTCGTGACATTTATATAAACTTGCTTCAGGGGTTTTTTTATTACATTTCTGAAATTTTTTTAGATCTTATTTCCGTAAGTATTCATTGATAAGCACTTTTTCAAAGAAGTGGATGAATGAAGTGACTTTAAGGTTGTCAGTTTCATTCATTATCATGGCAAGGTTTATTATATTACTCATGCCACATTCTCTATAACAAAAAGCATGTCATTTTAAATTTAGCATATTTTTGACAAATTATAATTAAAACTCTCTCAGAACTCTGGAACTTACACTTTTTTTTTCTCCAAGCAGTGCTTTAAAAGGCTCCCTATGGTTAGACTATTAAGTCAGGTATACAATAATTCTTTTCAAAAAATTGTTAAGAACCTATTCTCTCACATTAATGTTGAATTTTTATGATTTAAAATAAGTATTTGTTTTCAACTAGGAAAAAAATTGTATAATGTATAAATACTTTGTTATTTTAGAGCGTGGAGTAGAATTAGTATTTTGAGTCCATTTAGTATACACTGGAACACTAAAAAACACCAAAAGTGTAAAATCATTTCTTTAATTTAACTTTCATTTTGCATTGTTTAAGAATTGTTGCAGTAAAGTTAAACCAAATTTAATTTAATGCAACACTTTTTGATAACAAAGGTGCTTTTCAAAGTTGGTGGAAAGGCTATATGTAGTATGACATTAATATTACTTCCAGTCATAGAATTAGAGGTTCTGTTGATGTCATAACATTATAACATTATAACATAAAGTTTTAAGAAAAAAATTGACATTGTTTTGAAACCATAGATATATTAGTATGTAATTTTTTAAAGCAGTTGGGAGAGGCCTAAACCTGCTTTAATAGTAATTGGCATTAGTTTTACAACTTTTGTGGGAGCAGATAGAAAAGTACAAAATCTTAAGGAAGAACAGAATTAAGCCACCAATGAACTTTTAAAACACTAATTGCATATGTTTTCATTAAGACTGAAAATAAACCATAACATAGGTACTTTTAAAACACAAGACAGTCCAATTTCTACCTGTCTTCAGAAGAAGAAAGTAAATGAAGATACTTAGACAGGTAAGAAGGGTGATAACAGCCATGCTCCTCACCCCACCACAGGATGTGGCCACGTTCCCGTTATTCAGAAATCAGACTTATGAAACAGAAATGTGTATGAACAAATGGGTTTCAAGTAGGAAAAACAGGACTTGAGACAGGTAGGGCAGTGGTAAGGATGGGGAATGCTGAATGTAAAGGAAATGATCTATCACGAAGAGATAGAAAAAAATACGTAACAGTCAAATATTTAGGTCTCACATATACCGAGAAGATCAAAAACGAAAAACAGTCTCCCTCTCAACTATGGCAAGTATTATACAAAGGAGGAATATTGCTACTGTAAACATTTCCTTTACTTGACAGTGAAAATACTGTGTAGGCTTTTCTGTCACTGAGTCATTTGGGATGGGAAGCTTGCCACTTCACAATGTTCCACTGACACTGGAAATGCTGTTCACAGCAGTGAAAAATGTATCTCCCCGTAGTAAAGAACTCTTAACACTGCATTAAAAATAAAGAAAAATCCTAAAAATAAACCAGAAAAAAAACCAACAAATAATCCCTCTTAAAATATGGATTAAAGACACTAATTTTACTCCTCCACATTCTGTTTGGTGGTCAAGAACGTACAGAGATGAAAACTTCACGGTATAAGATCTCTAAAACCGAACTCTATAGAATTTAGCAGTATTTTGTCAGTTGAAACATATGATCTTTTCAATAAATTGGAATTAAATATCTACTTATATCTTCCTGACAATTCAGACTAGTAAATAAAAATGACTGAAGCTTACAAAAGAAGCCATCAAATAGGTGGGTGGATGTATGGATAAAATAAGTTTTGGAAGATGTATCAGAAATTCTAATAATTACCTAGGAATGTTGAGGTTAAAAAAAGGGAAGAAAATGAATTAATGTAAAATGTCAAACTTCCAACATTGCTGATGGAGCAATGCATAAATGTTACTTTGTTTCATTGCTGCACCATTATTTTTGTAATTTATGTAGTGGTTTTTAAGTCTTTCTGAAGAAAGCAGAATAACTTTGAAGTAATATCTGTCTGTTTTTCTGTCTATCCATCCATATAAATATATACACTGAATTCTGGCTTATTGCATAATAACACTGTGAAGAACACTTCTATAATAAAACAACCCGTATAATGGGCAATGAAGTCAATTGCATAAGAAGTAAAATGCTCCCCTTCTTTTGAAAACAGTTCTTACTTTTCCATTTTAGAGTCCTACACTAAGACTAGACTAAGAATGAATATTTATGTATTTAGAAGCCTGCAAAAAAAAATTTCAAATTATATTTGAAATGGTAAATAGATATTAAAATTAGTTAAGCAGAAAAATGAAAGTTTGAATGCTATGCTTAATCTGAAAACAATCCACAATGTTTTGGGGAGGCAGAAGAGAAAGAAGAGAAAGATGATATTTTAAAGTAGTCACATTTCTTTATTTATATTCTTTTACATCCACTGGAGTTTGATCCAGGATAGAGTATCACACTAGGCAATTGTCACTGGCCAATTTCTGAGCCAGGTGACAGCCTCTTGAATTAGCTGGTGCATGAACCATTGCTGAGCTGGCTTTTTTCCCATAGTTTATTGATCAGATACAAATCCTCTCCTGTATAAGGGTCATCTGAGTTCACAGACACAGCAGTGGTTGTTCTCCTGAGAATCACACTATTCAAAAGAGTTTATAGTATTGCTGTCTGTTATAGAAATATCAACCAAATTGAAAAATTAAAATATTTTTTTCTGAGTTTTGTAATAAGGTAAAATTAACTAAGCATCAAGTCTCATAATACAAACACAGAAAGCAAGATCAGGTGTGGAATATGTTTATTTTTAAGTTAATGATTGCATTTTCAAGGTACAAGATGAAACCAAATGAGGTCCTAACCCTATAATGATTTAATGATATGCATATTTTTCCTCATACTAATTTATTTAAGACTAACTGTGTGCAACTGTTTGTAGACTAAATAGCTTGAATTAACTTTGCTGAAGACTTTTTTACTCTAATTCAAAAAATGACCTTTACAAGAATAAATACTCTGTTGGCACTCTCTTAAATCTTTCAGTAATTAGAATCAGAGAATCATAATTATATTTGAAATGTAGAAAATGATAGCTTGTATCAACTATTATTATGTTGAGCACTTAAAATGTTTTCCTTAGGCTGCTTACTGATACTCTCAGTCTTGGAATGTTGAGATATTATTTGTTATTTAATAATGCCATTTAAGCTCTTTGACCATATTGGAATTTTGGCAGTGGGAAAGTATTATGCAGAAGAAAATGTTTTTTGTGATTTTAATCAGGTAATATTCATGCTCAATCTTCAGGACTGTTTATTCCCATTAATTTCTGAATGGTTCATTTCTAAACATCCTTTAGTCTCCTGATCAACAGCTTTAAAACTTTAGAAAATGTTTTTTTGGGATTAATTTTATTAATAGGTGTTAATTTTCTTTCCTTCAAGACACTCTTTTTAATGGTCTTGGACTCGGTGCTGTCATTGGCCTGGGAGTGGCAGCCCTTTTATTAATCCTGGTTGTGACTGATGTAAGCTGCTTCTTTGTACGACAATGTGGATTGCTAATGTGCATCACCAGGAGGATCTGTGGGAAGAAGAGTGGTTCAAGTGGAAAAAGTAAAGAATTGGAAGAAGGAAAGGCTGCTTACTTGTGAGTATTAAACACCTATGCTGGAAACATCACTAAAAGAAAAAGTTGGCTGTCCAGCTTATATTGACTTTATGGCCATTTTGTGGTGTGGCAAAGGGAATTAATAAAATGTTTCTATTACTTGGAAAAGGAAATGTGTAGAATTGTTTATTGCCTTTAAAAGAAAAATTGAGACACAAACAAGGAATTTACTGTACCTCACTTTAGAATGACCTCTTTGTCCAGCTTGACACAAAGGAAATCAATTGTAATGCAGTATTAGTTACAAGCACATATTTGGTTCATGAGGAGCAGGTAACAGATCATTGTAACTCCATTTCTGCAAATCCATCTTTAAGCTCCTAATACCCAAAACCTCAGCATATGGTTGTGACAGTGCCAGTAAATCTGAGAGTGAAGGATGTAGTATTATAAAAAATCCATGAAAGAATTTTTCTTCTCAGATATAGCACTTGATGGAAAAATCCTTTTTCTTGCCCAGAGACTTTAAGAATGAAAGGTATTGTGGATTTTTTTAAAGTAGGAATGCTGAGTTAGATGTGGGTGAAATGGTGGTGAGTGTGATTGTTCTTCATAACAATAGTCAATGATTGCTAAACATGAGTGGGAAATAAACAATCCTAATTATCACAAATAGCCTTCTGTAGTGGCTACTCCATCAGACAAAGGTGAATGAACTGATCATTTATGTGCAAATATGGTCCCTTAATTAAGAGTGGATACTGAGATCTCTGGCAAAACAGTTCAATTACTAATTGCATAAAATAACCATACTTTAGAGACCAAGCCTTTACAGGGCTTTCAGTATGTAACCTGGAGAGAGGATTACTTGTGGTCCTCTACTTTAAGCAGTTCCATTTTTTTACCAAAATATGCGTAATTGCCTGATTATGTTCATTTGGTAGACAACTTATGCATACACTGTAATATATGAGAGAATGCTGTCTTTGTGTGGCTGATTAATATTTACTGGTCCAATTCCTTTGTGCCTTTCCCAGCAGTCAGGCATAACAGTTTATTGTCCTGCAGCATCCTAGATCCCGTCCTTCCCCAGGTGCCTGTAAGAGCAGAGTAGATTTTGCAGCCTTCATTATTCACAGCTGTAACAGGTTTCTCCATTGCCAGTACTGGAGGTGTAAAAGCCTTTTTTTGGTTTTAATTCTGGCTTTTGGGTTTCAGACTGTGTCTTCCTTAACTTGACTACACGTCTTGGTCGGGTTCTTCTTAAAAGAGGTTCCCTTTTGGAAACAGCTCCATAGAACAAAACCAGTTGTAAGCAAGCAGAGACTACTCCCATCAAATAAGGCTTCTGAATAAAAGTCATGCCATAAAATAACTGTTTCCTAGCTCTCCCCATCTTACAGCAAAAGAAAGATTAAGGATATTTTTTCTATTGTGTGAAGCTGGCCTGTCTGGATCAATAGAATCAAGATGTGAAGCTTCTGGCTCTGGCTCAGCTGTCCTTTCCTGTTGAGCACAGCACTTCAGTTTATGCTTTAATTTCCCATTCAAGGAGTGACCAAGTACAAATTGGTGTACAGACCCTCCTGAACGGGAAGACCTTAGGGAAATAAAGCTGCAAATGTCACTTGACAGCAGTTTATACCTTGTTATCAACATCATACCCAAATGCCATTCTGTGCTGTCCCAGGAAAGCATAAAGCTGGTCTCTTAATATTAATTCTTCCATGACACGTATTTTAAAAGAACAACTATGTTATTTAACTATATTTCTTTTCATTGCTGGAGTGGCCTTCAGTCAGTCAGGTCTTAAAATACTTGTGACGGTTCTTATTTTAGCCTGTTCTCTGCACTAATAAACTGTCAGGCTAAAATTTCAGGACAGACTTGAAGAATCAAACTTTGAATTTATTTCATGCTAACAGCTATTCCCTAAAATACACTGACATTTCCCTGTTTTAAATATGTCAGTTTGCATTCTGGATTTTTGAGCGGGTTTGTGCTATGGTTCTTTGATTGTAGGATATATATATATATAGTAATTATGTTCCATATGCAATTAATGTAGGTGATACAATGCATGTAACATACACACAGCCATCTAGAACAAAAATGACATAATGCATTTCCTATAAATCACTTTCTCTTCTGTGGAATTCTGAAATGTTACACAGTTTGTACATTCTGCACATGTATGTGAATGCTGCTCATGAATAATATCTTTTTTAGGTTTTTGGTCATGCAATAATGTTTGTAAGACTCTAAATACATTGAAAAACCAAGCAGAACTTATCAGTCCCTCCACCAGTCCAGCTTAAATCCATAATCTTTTCACAGATATGAGGTAGCCATGACAGTTTAGTGCATCATCCAAAATGAGCTTGGTATCCATTTGTGTGTCTTAAATGTCATATGCAGAGGTGAATAAGCACATACAGGATTGGGGGTTTTGGGTTTTGTTTGTTTGGGGTTTTTTAATAGACACAATCTTTAAGACTTCTACCCATTGTTTCTTCTCCAGTCAGTTTCTGTATCTATGCTAAACTCTTATTAACCTACAAAGATTTTCCTTAAGGATACCTACCAGAAGATGGTAGAGTTTTCTTGATACTTCCTGTTGCAAAAGACTATTTAACGATTATTTTGTCAGAAACTGTATGAAAATGTGAGATGTGAATTAGAGAAGCATTTAGCCAGGTCTTTGCTGTGGCCCATTGCAGACTGACTGCTCTCTAGAATATCAAAGGTCCGGAAAATAATCTGTTAAATATAAAAGTGATTGTTCATCTGTAACTCAGTTACCCTCTGTTTCCAGACTGCAGCTGATGAAGTTCCAGGATACAATTCCTGATCTGATGACAGGAATAGAGATGAAATATTTGCATGGAAAGAGGTTTTCTTTTTGGAAATAAATATAGTTTGGGTATACTTTGATCTGCCTTTTGAGAGTAAAATTATATGCAAGTTACTTAATACTTTTAGTAAGTCATGTTAATCAGTAAGTATTGTTAATAATTCTGTAGCAGTGAGCAGTTATTTCCATATCATGGTCATATTATTGAGAGCAGCCATGCAGAGAAGGACTTGGGGATTCTGGCTCATGAAAAGCTGGACATGAGCCAACAATATGCTCTCAATGGCCCAGAAACCCCCCATGTCCTGGGCTGCATCCAGAGCAGTGTGGGCAGCAGGGGAGGGAGAAGATTCTGCCCCTCTGCTCTGCTCTGGTGAGACCCCACCTGCAGTGCTGCCTCCAGCCCTGGGGTCCCCAGCAGAGGAGGGACACAGACCTGTTGGAGTGAGTCCAGAGGAGGCCACAAAGATTATCAGAGGGATAGAGCACTCCCACTATGAGGGCAGGCTGAGAGAATTGGGGCTGTTCAGCCTAGAGAAGAGAAGGCTCCAGGAAGACCTTTGTCGTTCTTTCAGTACTTGAAGGGGGCTTATGAAAAAGATGGGGACAGACTTTTTAGAAGGTGATGTAGGGATACGACAAGGGTAATGGTTATAAAGTGAAATAGAGTAGATTTAGATTGGACAGGAGGAAGAATTTTTTACAATTAAGATGGTGAAACACAGGAACAGCTTGCCCAGAAAGGTGGTGGATGTCCCATCGCAGGAAAAATTCAAGGTCAGGTCGGACAGGGCTCTGAGGAACCTGATTTGGTTGAAGATGTCCCTGCTCATTGCAGGGGATTTGGACTAGATAACCTTTAAAGGACCCTTCCAACCCAAACCTGTGATTCTGTGACTACCAACAAAACACAGTGACAATACTCACTGCTCCATCTTCTTTATAATTCGTCTAATCAGCCCAATGGTTATTCATTTACTTATATGTGAGACACTAGCATTTGTTCCTAAATGGGGGGAAATATGACACAGAAACAGTTTTTTCTACCAGTGAAAGCAGAAGGGGTTAGATTTTTACCACACAAGGGCTCTTTACGCCACTCTGGCAGCTGGGGTTGTCACAATCTCAGGAGATTAAAGCACACTTCTGCAGTGTGTATACAAACATAATGACTCTTTAACACTGCCAGAGAAGTTCAAGTATAACTAGGCTTCAAATCCTATATTTATTATACTTTGTTAGGGAAGTTTACATCTATTCCCACGAAGAGGCTGTTGCCTTATTATTAGTCATAAACAAAATGCTCTTTTGAGATGCTAATTCATCATGTTTGCAGAGTTAGGTAAGTAACCATGGATACAGGATGCTTTGAAGACTTCAAGGAATTGGGAACACACTGTTAAATGTGTCTTGGTGGTGTTAGTCACTGATAATTAGTTCTGCCTTTCTTTTGCCAACTTTTGAGAGCAGGGATCTTGGTAATTCACTAGGTGCAAGTATATGGTTAATATGATGATAAGAGACTAAGACTCTTTTAATAATTTTTAGGAAAGATGGATCAAAAGAGCCAATAGTGGAAATGAGAACAGAGGATGAAAGAATTACCAATCATGAAGATGGGAGTCCAGTAAATGAGCCAAATGAGACAACTCCCCTCACAGAACCAGAGTAAGTAGGCTGATATTCCCTGGAGTTTCACACAAGCTCCTCTTGGCTGCATGGATGGACTGGATTTCCTCCAGTCTGGGGGGGAGATACACAGTATCACCAGAATGGTCTGCTGTGGCAGCGCAGTGTATGAGTGTGGGGCTGGTTGGTTTGCTTTTTTTTTACAATTATCCATCTAAATCACGGTACCCCACATATACTGGCTGAGGATATCACGAGACATTTTTCTCTGCTTTCTGTGACCCAGAGTACAACCACATCTGGGCATTATCCAGCCCTTGGGTGGCAACATCACGACAGAGTCAATCCAGCAGTGTGTCTTTACACCATCACCTGTTCGGAAATTAATGAGCCTCCGGGGAAATTTTCTGCTCTTCCCTGCTGCCCTGACTCCCGAGGAGCTCCTCCTGTGTTCTTGGTCAATACAGGTCCAGACTCATCAGCAGCCTTTGCCCAGCCCTGGTCCTGGTGGGACATGGACCGGGCACCCTGCTGCTGCTCCCAGTTCTGCCTGTTGCATTCGGGGAGCTGGAGGCTGAGGACAAGGCTTTTCCTGTGCTCCCTGGCTCTCAGGATGCACCAGAGCTTGCCCCAGTGCTCCCCTGCCATTCCTGGCTAACCTCCAAGCCCCGAGGGGAACCTTGGCCAGCAGAGGCAAGTCACAGCCCACACTGCCTTCCCTCCCAGCCCCAGCACCTGCAGCCACCTCACTCCCCAAGCTCTCCTGACTCTGCAGTGGTGACTGAGCAGTACAAGGATTTTTTAAGTTGGTTACAGCTGATATTTACCACCCATCCAGAAGTTATTCACCACTCTGGGAATCTCTTGACTCTCAGGAATAGCTTTAGATTGACACACACACATCCCATAGGTAGGGCACAATGATCCTGTGCCCCAGAAACCCAGCTCCTCAGAGGGTGGCCCCTTCCTGCTTTCATTCATTTCACTGAGAGCTTAGCTGAGTATTTAAGTCCTCATGGTGTAATTGGATTAATTGAGCTGAAGGGCAGCTGCTTTGCTCTGTTTCCTTGTGCCCCCTTCCTGTCCCTGCAGTAGTTCTCACCCACGCTCGCAGACTCCAGCTGCCTCCTGAGTTGTGGGGATCAGCCTTGTGCCTGGGGATCCTGGGTCCTGACAGTCAGGTCCTCTCCTCTTTTGCTGATGCAGCCCCTGGAACAGATTAAACTGGGCAAAGTGCCTGTTGTTTGTACCTGAGGAACAGTTTTCAATACCTGGATGGACCATAAATTTGCGAGCTTGAAGAGAAATTTAGCTTGAAGAGAAACTAATTTGTCAATAAAGGTGATGACAGTACCATTCTTTCTATTGAGAGCCCAAATACTGGTGTTAAAGAGCATGAACTGCTTGCTCAAGAGTTTAATTTCTGAGCCTCAAAAGTTGATTGATTTTAAATTATTAAAGAAACCTCCAAGTTTCTTTGGTTGGAGCCCAAGATTTTCCATGTGCTGTGAAAACCTCCTGCCTCATGAGATTACTGTCAGGGCTACAAAGACAGATAATAAATATAGAAATTTACCTGATCATTATTTGATGAAGTCACAGTTGTTTTTTTAAAAGGAGAGGGTGTTCTTATAAAACAGTGTCTTTTTTTTTTTTTTGCCATTATCTAAAACTGCAAAATCCAGAACTGTTAATAAAAAGGTATTTTACTGGCTGTCATTGACATCTGTAGTAAATAGGGAGTGTGTTAAGTAACTGCACATTAAGCCACACACTTCTTTGAAGAACCTGTAGCTGAAGACTTTAAACTTCTGTTAATTAAGTCATTGTGGAATTTGCTGAATGACTAATGATATGTTTGCTTTTCATATTAAAATTTATAATGAGGGGCACAGTGGAGAACCCACAGTTATCTAAAGAGTCAGGGGAATGTAGTTGTAAACACCATACAAGTCTAGCAGGCCTTGTATATCACAGAATATGCTAGTGGGTAAGGAACCAGGGCCACAGTTGTTCAGGTTTCTAGACTATTTGTAGCACCAGCTCTTGCAAATACAAAAGAGATGCATCTAGCAGGGGACATGATACCAGGAAAAATACAGTTACATTCATTCTGCTTGTCACAATCTTTAGAACAACTGACAGGAGTGAAATATGAGAAAGTTAAAATCAAAAATGTTTTATTATCTTAGGGGAGGGGGAAGGAATCAGTCCCTGCTGTCATGGGAAAAAAAAACCACCGAAACTAAATCATAGGAACAACTGATAAGGATTTTGATGGGTATTATGTCCTTGAAAGAATAGGACTGCTAAGAGATATTAATAATGATGACAGTTTCCTTCTTGGTATTTTTTTCTCTCACAACCAATGGCAAAAGGCAGCAGTTCAAGGCAGAGCAGGACAGAGGTCAGCTAAATATTTGGGACAGTGCCACTTAGTAAACTAAAGATGAAAAGAGCACCATGCAACCAGGACACCTGGAGGGACACTGGTACTAGGGCAACACAGAAAGACCTTTGGCTTGGACATGGGTCATAACCAATAAAACAGAGAAGCACAAGTGAGATGCCACTAATGGAGGATGCAATAGAGAAGAAGTCAGTCTCTCAGTAGGAATAACACAAAGACACATTGCCAACAACAGCCAGAAAGGCACATGCTGGGCAGGGTGAGGATGACCAGCAGGGATCTTGGAGAGAAGGGCTTAGCTTGCAGGAAAGAAAAGTTTCAAGGACATTCCAGGCAGGCACTGTTCACACATGACGGGATGCATTCTGACTAATTCTGGCTGTTTTAAATGTATACAAGATAAGCCTTGAGGTTAAATTAGATGAAATATTTTGAATAATTAATTGAATTATTTTGAATAATGCCAAATTATACTCAGAACCTTAAATGCAATTTAAGCAATTGTGGGAAATAACTAGTAAAGAGATTACTTCCTCTTACAACAATAATTTTCATTGTATTGCTCAGTATATAATTTGCCAATCTATGTTTTACTTTATCTCAGGTAAGATTCTTGTCAAAGCCAGGTTTGGAATCTTTCTGTGACAGATTAGCTCAAAGCACTTTTACCTGCAAGTCAACAAGTTTTAATCATTCTGGCAGGAAATCAATTTAAGCGGTGCATTTCATATCACATTTCTGTAATATGATTAAAATACCACATGCAATGTGGGACTATAATTACCTTCCTAGTCTGACATTATTGTGTTTCCAGTATTGGTTGACTATTTCTTAGTATTAATGAAGTTGGGTGAATTCCAATATTGAAATGGAGCCATTTTCCTCTAAAATAGGAAAGTAAACATGCTAGTTAAAGTTTTGTATGGGTAGTAGCAGCAGACATTTGCAGTTAGACCACATGCAGTGCTAAAGGAAGTCAATATTATTAATGATTGATTGCAACCAGCATCTGATTAAAGCAAAAAAACTTTTAAAGTTCTCTAGTCCTTTTTTTTTTCCCCTCAAAAGGCTTTATTATAAAATGTTTTAAGATTTGAAAGGACTAGTTTGCCCAGCTGAAATATATAAAATGATTTCAAATAGATGTAGCTAAAGAAAAACTAGGTGTATGAAAATTGGTGTAATTAGAACATTTAAACTTGAATTAATTAATGGAAAGATGAAAATGATTTAATCTATTAATAAAGATTAAATGTGAATTAATATTTTAAACAAATGGAGATGAAAATTCAAAAAAAACCCCAAAAATGTTGTCATAGTCAAAAAGAATAATGTCTAATGATAACTGCACTCGTAACTCACATCATAGAAAAAAATCACCACAAGTTTTTAAAGACAATAAGGTCAAAGAGTGCTGTGTGGACTTTGTGACGAGGAAAGTTTTGAGGACTAAAATTTTTTATTTGTTTGTAGTCCTTTTTTCTTTGTTGTTCCTCATTTGTATGTAAACCAAGGCTAATTTGATCACAATGTTTGTATGAGCATGGATTTTAGTGATGCCCCATATCCTTCAATAGGGTTCTAGAAAACCTTCCTATTTCAAGTAATTTGAAATTATTTGTAACCCAGTCTTAATCCACTTTAACCAATTTATTTAAATTTCCACACAGTATATTCTGTCAATTGCCCAGTTTTTACTTTGACTAAATATTTCCTCCCTTTTCAGCACCATCTTTTGAAAAATTACTGTGCCTTTACTAAAACTAGATTAAATTAGATCTTTTTTCTTTCCTTTTTTTAATGCTAGTTTATCAGATCTTTGACACATGTGCCTGCTCACCTGAAATGCATCTCACGAGCTGCACCTCCTCTGCCCCAGTGTTTAATCCTCTGTTAAAAATACATTTGTGTTGATTTTGTTGTTTCCATTCATTCAGCTGTCCTGTTGTGGGCTGAAATCTGCTTCCCTTGGGTGTGCCAAGGGAAACACTCAATTAATAGGGACCTCCCTCTGTGCTCAGAGCCAGACAGCTGATAATATACCCCACGTATTTTACTGTACTAGGAGTTAGTCTTCTCTTTGATTTCTCTCAGATATAGGTTGTGCTCACTGTTTAACCTCCACATAAACAGCATCTTTCTTAGTTCTTTTCAGGTGGCTTAAATTTCATAAGGCTGGGAATTTGGGTATTGTTTTGTTTTATTTGCTGTCATTAAACACTGTTATTACAAGACATTCCTAGGGGATTCCTCAGACAGATTTTGAACATTTTATTGCTCTTCGGGACATCAAGGCAATCACAGTGGAAATTTACTGAAAGATTTAACAGTTATTATGAATAAAAACAGCATATGCAAACCCGAACTGGAATCACAATTAACAGCTATTATGCCCAGGAGACATTATTACAGGAACATCTCAGTAATCCATATATCTTTTTGACAGCTACATTTTTTGATAGCTAATTACTGGCAGTAAGAAATCAATGATTTTCAAGATCTTTTCAAATGAAATCACATTCAAAAGGGTGGAGATTCTTTTGCCATTGGTATTAAGTATTATAAAAATCCTCAGCTTTTTCACTAAGTTGGTCTTAGAAGAGTTGTAAGTTATTAATTAAGTTATATTGTATGATCTAGGAAAATTAAATTGTAGAAGTTTCTAAATAACTATGCACTATAAGTTCTTTACCTATGTCTTGGTATAATCTCCAATGATAGCTGTGTTCTTTTGTATACAACTGAATTTACATTAAGAAACAGACATTAAAAAAGAGTTTAATCCAGATTTAGGAAAAACCTGGACTGTAGGTGTTCCACAGTATCCTATGGAACACATATCTCTGTGCTGTCTTGGGTCAATTTACTTGACATTCTATTTTTAATTTTGTCTTATTGAAGAAACTGCATTTTGGGCAGCAGCAGTGTTCTTATCATGTGACATTTAGCTTTTCATGGTTTTGTAGAAATAGAAAGGGTTAACATGGATTTCTTTAAAAGCAAAGAATGCCAGTGCACATAATAAAATAATTACATATTATTTTCAATAAGTTATGGTTTTAGAAACACTGTGAACTGTGTAAGTCATACATATGTTATAGACTTAAATTCCAGATTGTGTTATTTATGTCTTATCATAATTTCTCTTTTTGTCTGATAGGAAACTGCCACTAAAGGAGGAAAATGGCAAAGAAGCTTTAAATCCAGAAACCATAGAAATCAAAGTTGCTAATGATATCATCCAGTCAAAAGAAGATGATAGCAAAGCATAATAAGATAAACTACAGCTGTCTGGATAATGCATTTGGATTGAAGTAATCCCGTGACCAAAACTTTACAGCTGACCTTAATTTCTTGGGAAACTTAAGCTTGGAATAGTTAGTACGTGTGTACATATGATGAAACAGTTCCTGTCTACGGTTTCTTTCTATTTTTTTGTTAATGGTTTTAGTATGTAGTTTTGCTGACACCAAGTCCCATGGTATAAATTTGACAAATCTGCAGAATAAGAACTGTAATTTATTTTGTGAAAAATTATGCCTATTTAGAAGAAAAGTTGCAGAGCACCCCTAGCCACAAACAGCATATCAGGTCTCTCCAGATCTTACAGTGCAAGCTACATACATAAAGTGCCATATGCTACTGTATTTATTTCCATTTATAATAAAACAAAAGTTTAGGTTGTCTTTAAAAAAAAAAAAAAAGAAACACAGTTTCAGTATAACCTTTAAGACCTTAGCACTGGCAGATACTCAGTAGTCATTCCAGCTGTGATTATCACTTGAAGTAAACAAAAACCACTGTTCAACACAATGGCAAGTCCACCTGCAGTTTCACCTGGGTTCTACAGTAAAATGAAAAGCTGATAACCATGATGGTATATATGGATATAGATAAAATTGGTAACTGTTTTGTAATGATATATTGGGCTCATCCTAACTACATGAGTGTGACTCTGAAAGGCTCCAGGATTGGATTTTCAGTGCTTCAGGTTTTCTATATTAAAGTTTTGGAGGTCACATGTGAACTAAAATGCAGCAAAGGTGTGGAAAGAAAACTCGTTTTTAATCGTAATCTTGTCTTCAAATGAAAAGTTACAATATTTGTCCCACCATATTTATACATATAGAATATTCATTTTGCTCTTAGTTCAAACCATTTAGTTGGGGGATGAAACTGTGTTTTAGTGAAATAGATACATTTTCTCCCCAAATCAGTGCATAAAACGTTAAAGTTAGCCTTATTGAAACAGCAGTTGTTCCTTTGTGATTTCCTTTGTGATACTCTTTGTCTTAACAAATAAGATGTAAAAACAGATGGAAAGGCAGACTTTGCCTTAACAGTTAGGAACAGTATTAAATTATTAACTTAATGCAGTCTTATATTCAACCAAATTCATTTTTTTCCCTGTTAAGCTTTCCTTAAGATATTCCTTTTTATTATTCTGGTCAACATGCCCCACTTTGAAATTTGACAGATTTATTTGATGCAAAAATCATTCATATTTAGTATCATTGATTAATCACTAATTGGAACAATATAGTTTGTTTCCATTGCAACATAGTGTATCCACACCTACCAAACTCTTCAAAGTCTTGTTTTGGAAGAAGTAGATAAACCATATAGAAAACTAGATTGAAAAGTTCTACTTGTCAGGAGTAAATGGTAGAGTACTTTGTGGATTTTCCACATCTAAGTCATGCCTGAGGTTTAAGTGTAGCTTTGCTCAGCAAATTGTTTTGTGTCCATGCTATATCTGAATTCTGCTCATATTTGAAGTTCTTACACTTGTTGTCTTTTGTGCAGTAAAACTGAAAGTGAATTTTAAAAGGATGTCCTTAAATTTGAGGAAAATGTCACAATAACCTTCTTGTTAACCCAAGCTTAAGTGCATTTGAAAGAGCTAAGGAGGATATATTTAATTATTAGAGCTGTCTTATTTTTTCAAACCCAGGTTATTTTATGGGTTTTTTTTACAACTTTTCCTCACTTTGGGAAATACGTGCAATGACCGAAGTAGTTGAGGACAGAGGCATGCCACTGGTGTGGTTAGGACGAGAAGTCAAGCTCTTACAAAACTAGTACCAAAGTGAAAAGAATGGGCAAGAGGGCATAGCAATGTGGGATCAAAATCATGGAAGATGATAATTCAAAATTGCTGAAAGGAAGTTTCTCTTAATGCTAAGGCACTAATTCTGGGTGAAGAAAAGATGAAGACATTCCTTTATGACCTCTCACTGTTGTTCCCACATCCTGAGCAGGCAGTACCACCAAAGAGCTGCTTGTCTGTCAGATTTCTGTTCTGTTCCTTTTTGAGTACACAGTGAGCTGAACTGCCCCCTAACCTATAATTAAGAGAATCAGTTGTCTTATTTATATATTTGAATATATATTCTTTGTACAAAGTATGTATTTGCTCTATCAAAGTGCAAGGAAGGGACCTGGGCAATTCCAGCAGTTGAGAACAATGCAGTTGGTGTGGCTGAACATCCTCTCACACAATACTTTTTCCAGGGTGAGGATGAAGGTAGGAGACATCCTTGATCTTCTACCTGCTATCACACAGTAAGGTGGTGCCATGCATATCCACATAAGTCAATCCTCCCCAGGCAAATGGTGCTTTTCCTGAAACCAGCCTCAGCAGTTGCACAGGAAGCTGCCTATACCATGTGGGCAGAAGTAACACTGTCCAGGCTCAACTGTAGATGCATTTCAAATTTTAGTACTTCTTTAGTTGGACTTATGCACACACACACAAAAAATCATGGACTATATTGGTGGGAAGTTTTTTCCTCTTTTTTTTCCCCTAATATGGCCTCTAATTCCAATAAAAAGGAATTAGAAGATTTAAGAGATCTTGTCAGCACATTATTACTAATATGCCTGTGCTACATATCACAAGCAAAATATCCCGCAAAATTATTTCAATATTCGAAGTAAAAGCATTTCCCATGATATTAGTTTACAAACCAAAAGCTGTTTCCAGGAGTATTTAATTTCTTCTTGCTGTTATGCCTCTTGCCAGCTGGGCTATATGAGGGCTGAGAATAAAACAGTTCTATTTCCTGATGGACTGTCCAAGCATACCTTTTTGGTCTGTGGATTAATAGGTAATCTCTTGTGCTTTGACTCTGTGCTGTGCAGGAGAAAGCCAAACTCTATGAAAGAATGCTGAAAAACACTGATATTTGCAAATATTTCCAAATGAGGGACAGCTCATAGTAATTTGTAAGATATGTGTAGAACTGGAATAACAACATTTGTTTATTTCCTTTTCCTATTCTAGACTAAAAAAAAAAAAAACAACAAACAGATATCTGTATAAATGTCACTTTTACTGTCTAAAAGTAATTTTAAGTGTTAGTATGAAATGTCAGAAGAGTTGACAAAATATAACTATTTGTAAAAGTAATCTGAATTGTTACACTAACATACTCCAGGGACGAGGGTGGGAGGGAGCCATTGAAATTATTACTGATATGAAATGTGGCAGTGACAATCTCTTTTCAACAAAAAAAGTAAGGAGTACAATTAAGTAAAATTACTTAGAACTCCTTGTTATAATTTTTTTAGTAGATCTCTGTTCTGATTTACCACAATAGTAACAAAGTTTTAATTAATACTTTACAATTTAGTACATGAATGTACCCTGGAGAGGTTTTTCTTGGTTTTGTTCGTTTATTTGGGGTTTTTGACTTCTAAGTTTTTTTTGTGGTTTTAAAAATATTTACTATTCTGGTGATGCTAATGCCTAATGTGACAAAGATTAATTTATTTAGGCCTCAGTCTTGCAAGAAATTTTATATGGCTGAACCCACATATGGCACTTCACTGACACCAGTGGGGTGGATGTGAGCAGGAAGATGGATGTACTTTCATAGGAGAACTTGCAGGACTGGGCCTACTTTCTATCTCTTCATAGATATTTACAACGTATTTACACAGTGACCGTCATCTACAAAGGCTGTTTGACAACAGTTCCTGGTATAGTAAATTCCACCTGCTGTCTTCAGCCTCTGCATTGATGTTCATCCAAAAAAAAAGTGGCTTTCTTTTTTATGATGGTAATTACTTTTATTATTTATTTAAGTGCCAATCATCAAACTGTAGTATAATCATCATGCCATTTTTTTTCTGTTTCCTAGACCAGATAATGGAAATGTATTTGTGCCTTTTGATAGCATGCCACTCTGCTTTATTAAAGAAAAATCTTCAATAATTTGTCTACAAAGCCTGTTTAAAATAATTGAAAGCTTTACCGTGACATTAAACTGGAGATACTATTGTCAAGTCACGTAAATACTTTAAACACAAATTTTTCAAAAAATCAATTGAGATCACAATTCCACGGAGGGTCATAGTGGGTGTATTACTGCTGAAAACTTTCAAGTAGATGGAGCACATGGTGGATGTGCGGGGGTGTTTTGACCAATTTATCAAGTTGAAGAGTCAGACAGAAAGTCTCCTTAGTTCTATTTAAGTGCTTAGACCTAAAATATTAAAATCTTTTTCTCAAATTTGAAAGATGATGTGGAGCATCTTCCCACCATTTTACCCCTGGAGAAAAACTGGAGTGAACATTTGTTTCGCAGTCATTTGCAGCCTCACCATCACTGGGTAAGCTGTCACAGGAAGTAACATCTTGGTAGCGTAGTTGTGTCTGAGGGATGATAATCACTCCTGATTAAAGAACCTCCATAAAGGCCTTTTACTAGAAAAGCTCAAGACCCCTGTTATGAATTAACCTATGGAGGGGTGCTGAGGGTGCTGCAGGAAGGGCCACACTGTAATCCAGGTGTCGTTGGGCTGTAAGACACAAAATGACTTCAGCAGGGCCTGAATTTCATCCATCCATCCACCTCAGCGAGGCTCTGCATGTCCTCAGCTGATCGAGTTGCTTCTAAGTTTAAGTGGAACTTAAATGTCCCACCAGGCTCCTGCTAACATTTTGCACAGAGTTTGTATTGATCAGGACATTGTGATAGAATATCTGATGACAGTTTTTTCCAATACTTTACCATATGTCCAGAAAGAAAACATCTCTTTAAATAATTCATTGTGATTGCGACACTTCTTCAGGTGAGGATGAAAACATTCTTAAAACATATCTTTGTTTAGCTTCAGATAATTGTTCTGATCAATGAAAATCTACCATGGCTAAATAAATCTTTTTTAACAAGGATCCACCCCCTTTTTTTCAGATTTTTTCATATCAGTTCCTGAAGTAGCCTGTCCACTTGACAGCAGTTCTTTAGTAGTGGGGGGAAACCACTCACTATGTTTTAAGTGATCTTAAGTGGTAAGTTTTAAGTATTTCCACTGCACATATAGATGTGTTCTTATATCACTTTATTTGAACCTGAGCCAAAAAGAAGCCTTACAAATTTGGCCTTGGATCAGGTTCTGAGAAATCACAGTTTAGCAGTCTATCTTTTCTCTTAACAGGCTTTGAGAGCCTCATGATGTTTGACTTTCAAACTTGAATATTGGCCATTTTTAGCCCAGAGAAATGAGATAAATATTTATTGCCAAATTTGTATTGGCAGCTTTTAAGTCACAGGTGAGATTGGGTGCGGGTGGGATGACCAGATGCAGTGCCAGCAGAGTTCAGGAAAGCAACTTCCAGAGAGAACGGGTGCCAAAGAATGAGCCAAGAGAGGGCTTCGATACTGGGAGCATCTCTCGTTAGCATTGACAGGGGAAATGGGGAGCTACTGAAGGAGGAGAGGCTGCTGAAGGGCATTGCCAAAAGGCAAAGCGCTGTGAGCTGTGAAAACCAGTGAAGAGGGAACATTAACCCTGCTGTATCCTTTAGCTCTACCATGTAATTAGGCTGCATTTTTTAAAATCTAAAATGCAGGGTTGGAGGAAGGGAAAACAAACCCTCAGAGTCTCTATAGAGCAATGACAAATACACAAAGCAGTCAAACCCCCCCAGAAGATAATTTTGTTGCTCATGATGTAGAGTTCTCACTAAGAATTTTGAACTACTTAGACAAGGTTTTAAAAGAAAAAAAAAAAAAAGCTTTCCTGCTACAATGAGCACTCGGTACGTATTTGTATGCTGTGTACAGTACAAGCTAAAGCATACCATATATTGTTTTTGTTATTCCACATGTTGTCAACAGCCCACTTGCGATATATGCCACCTGAAATATATATTGATAAGTTAGCTACCACTGGAGCTAGTTTGTTTATTGTTTCAGAATCTTATGTCCCTATGAAATGCTGTGTATATATATATATCTCTATACTGTAAAAAGAAGTAATATCGCAGATGCTGGTTTTGTATTTATGAAAGACATTGAAAGTATGGCTTAAAGTATATCAATTATTTGTCACTCTTCACCATTTGTATATTAATAGTAAAGATACTTTTACTTTAATGAAGTGTTGTCGTTATATTTATTTTTGCTAAGCGTCTTTCTGTCAAGATGTCTTATTCATTAGGAGTCTCATTGCCAAAAAGAACCATATCAATTATTTTACCCTCTTTATAGAAGTATTGAAAAACGCTCACACAGACCTACAATTTATTATTCTCTTTTCTGTCAAAATACATCTATTGTAGCATCCTGAGCTTGAGGCCCATTATGATCAGCCCTCTAAGTGTTAGTGTTGATAGATAATATTCCTTTTTTTCCATACAAGTGCAACATTTTAAAGGTATTTAGTATATGCCAGAAAAAAATATTATCAACAGAAGCCTCCTTATTTTGCCAAACCTTGAATCTTCCAAAAGTCTTGTAACTGTGTTAGCACCACCAGGAGCTGATGGTAACAGGCTGGGCATAGTCTGCAATGTAGTGGGCTTTTACTGCAGTGCTGGTTTGTATTCCAGTAAGACAGAAGATGGGCAAAGCACACCTCAGAGAATACAGCCCAGGCACTCCCCTGAAATGGCAGAGCAAAATCTCCTCCTTTTTACCACCAATAAAATGAAGTAACCTAAGAGAAACTTGCTAGATTGTGTATTCATGCCTAAGAATCAGCTTTCTGAGGGCCACCTAAGTTCTAAAAAACCACACCAGCCTAAGAAAGGAGGGGCCATATATAGGAGAAATATATTGTTCTACTCAACAAAATCTTCACAGCTGTATCTTCTTCCTTCCACACACCCTTCAGCTCTGACCTTGCAGATGTCTTAGGCATGTGTTTCCCTAAGTGTCAGTGACAGCATTAACAAATAATAAAAATACCTCTTTGTATTGAAAAACTGTGCATGAGAACTTGTTCAGTGTCCTGTTAACACCAGTACACCACAGAAAATTTTTCATATAGTCATGTCTCTTGCTCAGAAAATAAATAGACTTTCTCAAATGATGCACAAATTTAGGTCAGGTGTCTTGAGAGTCAATCAGTTTAGTGCACTGTCTGCAGGAGAGGTTCCCCCTTTAATTTAGAGGTGAGCAGTAAATGCAACTATTGCAAACTACTGATAACAGAAAGATAATGTATGACATCTTCAGAAACAGATTCAACCTTTTAAAATTCAGCCTTGTCACAATATATCATTCTCTCATGTGATTCAGATGTTACTTGAAATACAAGATAAAATACTTAAAATTATACTCAGGTACCTTGATAAGAACAATTTGTTTACCCATGTCATTCCTAAATTGGTCACAGATAGCGCTGGACCAAAAAACCTCCAAAATGAAATGGAAAAAAATGTGCCACACTGATTCTTGATTACAACTTTTTCATTTGAGACCTCGCAGATCCTGAAAAACAAACTGTGTTTGTAAACTCATTCCTATGTGGAAAATGCTTCTTGTTGGGGATATGGTTCAAACTTCTTTGGTGATTTATTAAACACTTCCTAAAAAAAGCTAAACCTCTAAATCGAGCTTAGTGTCATACTTTAACTTCTGTAATTTCTTTTTTTTTTTTTTTTAAGAAAAAAGATAATACTGTCCTTCAGTCTGATTAAACAAAGAAATGAAATGTATCCAGTTGGAGCCAATATAAATATTGTCAGTGGTGTTGCTGAGAAAGCAGAATGAACTACATCTGGCAGGAGGATGGTCAGGTTAAGCACACACTTGTAGAATTCTTTCAGGCAATCTGATGATAAGGTGGACAAAAAAGTTTTTAATAAAAAAAGAAAAGCTTTTTCTGCTAAGCAAATGCCATCTTTTAGGACTAAACTAGTGAGGGAGAAATGATATCTTATTATTTTAAAGTTTAAAAAGGAGTTTCATTGTCTTAGACCATAACATGATGAATGCATTTTACTCTGGCACTTATTTTTATTATAGATCAGAAGAAAAAAAACTTTTATGATTTACTTGTGTCTGAAG